AGCTACGGGACACTCAAAAAACCATACACACTGCCATCGGGTCGATTTCATTTAATAACACCTCCACTAGGTTTCCAAAGCTGTAAATCTTTACGGAAGTAGACAACCTCTTTCTTCTATAGAGTGGCTGGTGGGTTCAAATCACCAAGTTTTGGTTAGCAGCCAAATGCCTTACCCACTACGCCAGCAGAAGTCCCTACGCTAACAACCAAGTTAAGATTCTACAAGGTTATCTGGTAGATTTCCTGGAGCCAATCTAACAGGAAATCCCCTGTTACATGTACCTTCTTTATGCTGCACAAACGTGATCTCAAGACCCTCTGGACAAACATTCCCTGGTCAACAGTTCTTCACAAACCACAGCTTTGCTTCCTTCATTGTGTGCTTAAAGTGGTTAAGTTTCTATTGTTTAAGTTTCCTCATTCTTTTCCAAGTGACATATCTAGCAGAGCACCATGGAAACTCGCAGACACAACAGGCTGCATGCAGTGTTGTTAAAAATAAAAAATGAAGTCTGTCTTTGGACAGGAGTATAAGCTCTTTCCCAATAACCAGGCACCTTGATTATTAATCTTAGGTTCTCTTATTCAGGAGTTTTGGTGGCATGGTTGGTAAGGCATTTGGCTGCTAACCAGAAGGTTGGGGGTTCAAACCCACCAAGTTCTCACAGAAGGTCAATGAGGCAATCTCCTTCCATAATGAAGTACAGCCTTGGCAACCCAATGAGGGTCACTATGATTGGAATCAACTGTTTGGCAGTGGGTTTGCTTTTTGGGTTATTCAGTACATTCTCTTCATAACCTGACTTGACCATGACATAAACATTTCCTTAGTCATCCATGATAATGGGCCAAATAAGGGACTCAAAAGTCATGCATTGCTGATTTTAACTGTGCTGAACACAGCAGAGACATGGCTTAGTTCAGCCAATTTACTTTAGTCAAAGCTCCCTTGGCTCTTCTCACAATAAAAATACACGACTGCCAAAATACAGCACTATGTCCTCCAAATGTAAACCAGCACAACAAAAAA